TGGGCGCATATAGACAGGGAATAAGAGAGGAAACTGCTTCCTGTGGCTGCTAAACTCTCTCAAATACCACTTGGGTGAGAAAGGAAGTGGCTCCATGCCCTCCTCCCCCAGTGACCTTTGATAATTTCAAAGGTGGCAAGATACAGGCATGGACGAGGGATGGGAATCCTGCCCTCAGGCCCTGACTGCAGTGAGCATCTCCCTGTCCTCACTGATACAATGAAGGTTTATGATAATCTCAAGGCGTGGCCTGCTTTAAAATTCTGTGCTTCTCTAGGAATGACTGGCTGGCCCATAGGAGGGCTGAATGGTGCAGCTGATGGTGATGAAATGAACCAGTCCTCAGTGGGCAGAGCCCTGAGTTATTGGTTCCCACCCTGCCCTAGCGTGTTTTGTGTCCCCAAGCAACCTTTTCTTGTTTATCAAGTTTCTGCCTTATAGAAAGGGGCAGTGCTTATAGATGCCACTGCACACGGGTGTGGAGAGATTACCCAATAAATAATGGACGTGGGTCCTGCAACATGTGTGTTACGTGGCAAGCACCACTGTGTGAAAGGCCATTCATTGCTACGTAAGTTATGAAAGAACTGGAGAACCTGGCCCAGCGCTGTGGCTCATGCCTATAATCCCAGCACTTTGGGAGGCCAACGCGGGCAGATCATGAGGTCAAGAGATAGGGACCAGCCTGACTAATATGGTGAAACCCCGTCTCTACTAAAAATACAAAATTAACCAGGCGTGGTGGCACATGCCTGTAATCCCAGCTACTCGGGAGACTGAGGCAGGAGAATAGCTTGAACCCAGGAGGCGGAGGTTGCGGTGAGCCAAGATCACGCCATTACACTCTAGCCTGGCAACAAGAGCAAAACTCCATCTCAAAAACAGAGAGAGAGAGAGAGAGAGAAAGAGAAAGAGAAAGAAAGAATTGGAGAACCCAGTGAATTGCTTTCAGGTCTACGCTGATTCCAGACAGTAGGATAAGAAAGATATAGAAAATCCACTTTGGAAGAAAAGTGTCTCTGAAGAGATTGAGTTTTCCATCTGTAAACTGTTAAAGTGAGGATGCTAACAGTTCCTACCTTAATCCATTTGAACTGCTTGGAACAATGTCTGCAGCAGCACCGTCCTGCAGGACTTTCCGCACTGATAGGAATGTTCTGTAGCTGTGCTGTCCAGTGCGGGAGACATAAAACACAGGCTTTGAACATTTGAAATGTGGCTATTGCAACTGAGAAACGGAATTTTTATTATTTATTTATTTATTTTGTTTGTTTTGAGATGGAGTTTTGCTTTTGTCATCCAGGCTGGAGTGCAGTGGCATGATCTCGGCTCACTGCAACCTCCGCCTCCCAGGTTCAGGCGATTCTCCTGCCTCAGCCTCTGAGTAGCTGGGATTACAGGTGCCTGCCACCACACCTGGCTAATTTTTATATTTTTAGTGGACATGAGTTTCGCCATGTTGACCAGGCTGATCTCAAACTCCTCAGGTGATCCGCTCGCCTCGGCCTCCCAGAGTGCTGGGATTACAGGCTTAAGCCACTGTGCCAGGGCAGAAACTGAATTTTTAATTCTATTTAATGTTAATTACTTTTAATTTAAAGGTAACAGCCCCATTTGGCTAGGGGCTACCACCTTGCTCAGCATGGCTCTGGAACATCCTGAGTACTCAATAAATGTTAGCTACTGTTGCTGATGTTATATGATTATTATTTCATATACTTTCTTTTTTTGTTTGAGATGGAGTCTCGCTCTGTTGCCTAGGCTGGAGTGCAGTGGCACAGTCTTGGCTCACTGCAACCTCCGCCTCCCGGGTTCAAGTGATTCTCCTGCCTGGGCCTCCAGAGTAGCTGGGATTACAGGCATGTGCCACCACGCCTGGCTAATTTTTGTACTTTTAGTACAGGTGGGGTTTCACTGTGTTGGCCAGGCTGGTCTCGAACTCCTGACCTCAGGCGATCCACCCGCCTTGGCCTCCCAAAGTGCTGGGATTACAGGCGTGAGCCACCACACCTGGCCTGTTTTAGGTGCTTTCGAAGGTAAGTTTTGTGCTTAATGTGGGTCAGAACATACATGAGGCTATTTTCTACAAACCTAGAACTCATAAGAACCGACCCTTTACTTTCTGGCACCTCTGCTTCCTCTCAAGGCAGCCAGACATGCTGAAAATGTACTTGTGCAGAGCTCCCTGACTGATGTGTTGCAGATACGTTACAGCTTGCTGCTGCACCTTCAGCTTTTGGGTGGCGGGGTTGGGGGGGTCCCCAGGCCTCTCTACTCCCTGGGAGTCAGGAGTGTTCTTTCCAAGGCCGTGGCTTAGCCCAGGGGAAGTAAACTTGTGCGTCTTCAGCCCTCAGGTCGGTTTGGCTCGGCCTTGGCTGTGTTGGATTTTAACATGGACGGCGTGCCTGACCTGGCCGTGGGAGCACCCTCGGTGGGCTCCGAGCAGCTCACCTACAAAGTAAGGCTGCTGCTGGGATAGGGTTGGAGGAGAATGGGGTGGCAGGGAGGGGACTCTGAGGGAGGCCAGTGCTGGGGTGAGCCCCTGGAGCAAAGCAGACAGCCAGTGTATCAGACAGCATTTGTGAGCAGATCATCTCAGGCCCCTATGGAGTTCTTGCCGTGACCTTGAGTTACCTTGTAACACCTGCTGCTGCCTCCCTGGCCTTATTTTGGCCCTATGGTTTCCCAGTTCCACCAGGTACTTTGCTCTTTTTTTCGTCCCCCACCATGCTGAATGCCAGTAAGGGAGACAGAAATTCCAGCTAATCTGTAATTTCTGGTTATCAAAACAGCGAGGTGACTTCCCCGGACCCTTCCTCAAATGCTGGATCCCTGCCTGTTGCCTCCTTTCTTACTGAGGCAGAGATCCTGGGCCTTGGACCACAGGGTTTGCTTCCCACAGGTGCTTCCTACCACAGCAGGGCCCATGAATCCGGGCGCCATGTGTGACCGTGGAGGTCGAGGGCCCTCCCTTGTCAGCTGCCCTCCGCACACTCACCTCTTGCCCCTTCCTCCTCACACTCCATTTCTAGACATGCCAGCAGTCTGTCACATCCTGAACTCATCAGGCTGTCTCACTTTGCGACCTTTGCTCGTACAGTTTCCTCTGCTTGAAAGGCTTTTTCTCCCCTGTCTTTCTTGAGTGACAGTCACTTCTTGCGAAACTATTACCTAACTGCTGGGTGAGGCTGATACTTCTTTGTCCCCACATAGCATCCTGTGCTTGTACCTGTTACAGCCCCTTCTTCCCTGGGTGTCATAATGACCTGCATGCCAGCCTTTCAGGAGGATAGAGATTGGTCTTCTTTGTCATTGTGCACCTAGTACCTGGCTTATGATGGGAAAGAAGTGCTTGTAGAATGAATGGGGATTGAGACAGGCAAGTTATAAGAGGAACTGATTAGTAACACAGAATAAAATAGCACAGCGTGTATCCTCAGGCAGACAAGTGGTACCGATGTGGTATGTTGGCATTCAGATGTGCCATGGGTACAACAGGGTGTGGCCCGGGGGCTTCATGGAAGAGCCTGAAACTGTGCTGGTCCTTGAAGTGGGCAAGGAGTTGAGTAAGTCATTCTGCAGGCACACTGCACAATTGTGTGTGGAAGATCTTGAGTAAGACGTCATGGAGACAAAGATGTAAGTGCCATCATTTCTGCATTGCAGACTCTCATAGTCTGATGGAAGTGACAGACTTTAAAAAAATTCCTTTCAGCCCAGCAGCAATGCATAGGATGGATTTCTGTCTGTCTTCAAGCTCCCAACCATTGGGGGTGGTGATAATTTGACAAGGTCTCACTTTAATTAAAAATTTATTTTTCGTGGACCCAGAATCTCACTATGTTGTCCAGGCTGGTCTTGAACTCCTGGCCTCAAGCCATGTTCCCACTTGGGCCTCCCAAAGCACTGGGATTATAGGCATCAGCCACCGTACCTGGACCCAGAGTCAGTCCTTTTTGTCTTGCTGTTATTTAAGGTTCTTGGGTCACCACCAGAGCCTCATGTCTGTCTGCTGTTTGTCCTTATCTAGGGTGCCGTGTATGTCTACTTTGGTTCCAAACAAGGAAGAATGTCTTCTTCCCCTAACATCACCATCTCTTGCCAGGTATGTTTACCACTTTGGCCAGGCGCAGAAACCTAGAACTTACTGTATCCTAATTGCCACCAGGGCTGGGTAAAATGTGCTTTCCTGCTTTCTTCTTAAGGACATCTACTGTAACTTGGGCTGGACTCTCTTGGCTGCAGATGTGAATGGAGACAGTGAGCCCGATCTGGTCACTGGCTCCCCTTTTGCACCAGGTGGAGGGAAGCAGAAGGGAATTGTGGCTGCGTTTTATTCTGGCCCCAGCCTGAGCGACAAAGGTAGTGCCTGAGGGGGAATGGGTGGAGACCATGGCTACTCTGTGTGTCCACGCTAACTTATCCTGCATAGGGGTTTATGGCCTTTTTCCTTATTCCATATTAATTTCACCAACATTTTCTAACAGTCCGTTACTCTTAAAGATGTTCTGGCAAGTGATGTGCATAGATTCACTGAAAATACAAAAGGTGACCCACAGTTTCTAGGTAGAGAGCCAAAGAGGGCAAATCGACTATTCCCATAGTGTCTCTATGTAAAATAGAAACCCTGAGGAGGCTTTGCACCAACAGCATCTTAGTGGTGCTCTCAACAGTCCATAGCCGTTTTTGTTTGTTTGTTTTGTTTTGTTTTGTTTTGAGACAGAGTCTCACTATGTCACCCAGGCTGGAGTGCAGTAGCATGATCTTGGCTCACTGCAGGCTCCACCTCCCAGCTTCAAGCAATTCTGTCTCAGCCTCCTGAGTAGCTGGGACTACAGGCGCACGCCACCATGCTTGGCTAATTTTTGTATTTTTAGTAGAGACGGGGTTTCACAATATTGGTTAGGCTGGTCTTGAACTCCTGACCTCAGGTGATCCACCCGCCTTGGCCTCCCAAAGTGCTGGGGTTACAGGTGTGAGCCACCACACCTGGTCCAGAGTCTTTTTAAATAGCATCCTCCACTCCACAGAAGTGAACTCTAGAAATGTATTTCTCCTATGAAGTGTGAGATTCATTTTTGACACTGGGGTCCTGGGTTCAGCGCGGGAACATAAAAGACTTCTGGCAAAAGCTCAACAAAACGAATCCACTTCTATTAGGCTATGAAAGGGATGCTTTCTTTTCACCCCAGTAGTCCTCTCACTTAAAGTATTAGTAAAAAGGATGAGTTGTCTTCTTTAGAGAAACTGAACGTGGAGGCGGCCAACTGGACGGTGAGAGGCGAGGAAGACTTTGCCTGGTTTGGATACTCCCTTCACGGTGTCACTGTGGACAACAGAACCTTGCTGCTGGTTGGGAGCCCGACCTGGAAGAATGCCAGCAGGTGAGGCTGATGCTGGGGCTGGGACCCATAACCACAGGGGCAGGTACCAGCTGCTGTGGAGCCCACTGAGCATGGGACTCAGGCAGAAGGGGTAGGAAATGCTTGACCTTTGAAGGAAAAGCCAAGGCTCTGGGCAAGGTTGCAAATTCTCCTCTTTAGAAATACAAAAATACAATAGACAAGTGTGTTACTTTCTCACAGTTCTGGAAGCTAGAAGTCGAAGATCAAGGTTGAGGTCAGAGAGCTGGTTTCTCCTGATGCCTCTCTCCTTAGCTTGCAGATGGCTGTCTTCCCTCTGTGTGTGTCTGTGACGAATTCCTCACTTCTGCTTTTTTCTTTTGGGAGGAAGGGGTGAGGGTTCACTCTGTTGCAAAGGGCAGAGGGCAGTAGTAACTCACTGCAGCCTCGAACTCATAGGCTCAAGGGATCCTCCTGCCTCAGCCTCCTGAATAGCTGGGACTACAAGTGTGTACCCATGCCTAATTCATTTTTTTTTTTTAATTTAAAAACATTTCTGTAGGGATGGGTTTTTGCAGTGTTGCCCAGGCTGGTCTCAGACTGGCTCAAGTGATCCTCCTGCCTCTCCTCTTCTTTGAAAGACACCCGTTGTATTGCATCAGGGTTCACCCAAATGACCTCGTCTTAACTTAATCACCTCTTTAAAGATTCTATCTTCAAATACGATCACATTCAGAGATACTGGGGGTTAGGACTTAAGTGTAGGGATGGGAGAACCACCACTGAGCCCATAACAGTAGGTACCCCTATACCTCTATCCCAGAGAGTCTGCTGGGAGGCCTGTCAATTGGGAGCAGAATGGTGGGTGTGGCACCTGGAGAACCTGGATGTTGCGATTAACTCCGATAGTCCCCACGCTTTCAGGCCTAGGATCACAGAGACAGAGAGCCTGCTGGGAGGCCTGGATGGGGGGAGGTGCATTTCCTTTCCTTGCACCTGAGTACCTGGCCTGCTCTCAGTCTTGTGCCCTGGCAGCTAAGCCCAGTGTGCTTCATTCTAGGCTGGGCCGTTTGTTACACATCCGAGATGAGAAAAAGAGCCTTGGGAGGGTATATGGCTACTTCCCACCAAATGGCCAAAGCTGGTTTACCATTGCTGGAGACAAGGTATGGCAAGCCCTCCCCCACAGGAGAGTGGACACTCCAACGAAGCTTTCTCGCCTATACAGTATTGATAGATTGTATCTCACAGGCAATGGGGAAACTGGGTACTTCCCTGTCCAGTGGCCACGTGCTGATGAATGGAACTCTGACCCAGGTGCTGCTGGTGGGAGCCCCGACACGTGGTAGGTCACGCACCGCGACACTTTGCTTCCTTTCAGTCGTGTGGCTCCTTGTACGCATTGTATTGGAGGAAAGTTATGAGATCTGGAGCTGAACAGATCTAGATTTAAATATTTCCTTTTTTCATTAATAGCCATCTATGTAACTTTGGGGAAGTTACTTCACCTCTCAGAACTTTTGTATCACCATCTACAAAACTGAAATTATAAATATTTCAGGCCAGGTGTGGTGGCTCACACCTGTGATCCCAGCACTTTGGGAGGCCAAGGTGAGAGGATCACTTGAGGTCAGGAGGTGGAGACCAACCTGGCCAACATGGTGAAACCTCACCTCTGCTAAAAATACAAAAATTAGCCAGGCATGGTGGTGCACACCTGTCATCCCAGCTACTCAGGAGGCTGAGGCAGGAGAATTGCTTGAACCTGGGAGGCAGAAGTTGCAGTGAGCCAGGATCATGCCACTGCACTCCAGCCTGGGCAACAGAGCAAGACTTCATCTAAACAATACAATGAAATAAAATAAAAATCTATTTCAAAGGTTTGTTGAAAATGACATTTGAAAGTAACTTAATGTGTTTTAAAGCCCCTATCCCGTTGAACTTGGAGCTAGAGAAAAATTGTGTAAGTGAGTTCATTAGGAATAGGTCCACTATGAGGACCTATCTGTTTTTGTTTTTTTTTTTTTCTTTTTTGGGACAGTCTTGCTGTGTCACCCAGGCTGGAGTGCAGCAGTGCTCTTATGGCTCACGGCAGCCTTGACTTCCTGGGCTCAAGTGATCCTTGTACTTCAGCCTCCTGAGTAGCTGGGACTACAGGCATGCATCAGCCACCACACTGGCTACTTTTTTATTTGTCGTAGAGACAGGATCTCAACATGGTGGCCAGGCTAGTCTCTAACTCCTGGGCTCAAGTAATCCTCCCTCCTCGGCCTCCCAAAGTGCTGGGATTACAGGCATGATCCACTGCACCCAGCCCTGAAGACATATTTTAATAAGCTGTTATTTTATTTATGGGAAAGAGAGTCTTTTTTAAAAAAAAAAAAAACAACAAAAACTATTCCCTCCCAGATTATAAAGGTGAATTATGCTTATTGTGAAAATTTGTGAAATTACAAGGAAATATATAGAAGGAGAAAAATCACCCCTTACCCAGACATTTAAAAACTGAAGCTTATAACTATATATGATATTGTCATACCTAATTTTTTTACTTATTTTATGTCTTAAGCACATTCTCATGCTAGTAAATATTCTGCTAAAACATGATTTTTGATATCTACATTGCATTTTTTTCATGCCAACATTTACTAACATCACCCTGTTGATGGAATTGTAGGTTTGTTTCCAGTGTTACACTATTGTGAATAAGGAATTATTGAACACTCATGTACCTCATCTTTGACTGCCTTTCTGATTCGTTTTTGGATAGATTCCTGGAGATGGAATTCCTGGAGTAGAGGATCTAATCTTTCTAAAAGCTCTTGTTATATATAATCAAACTATTTTTCAGAAAGATTTTTGTTTCATGCAATATGGGAAAGATTTGAATAATAGGCAGAAGTGGATCAGGCAGGCGGGGTATGGTGGCTCACTCCCGTAATCCTAGCACTTTGGGAGGCAGAGGTGGGTGGATCACTTGAGGTTGGGAGTTAGAGACCAACCTGGCCAACATGGTGAAACCCTGTTTCTACTAAAAATACAAAAATTAATCAGGTGTGGTGGCGGACACCTGTAATCCCAGCTACTCCAGAGGCTGAGCCACAAGAATTGCTTGAACCCGGGAAGCAGAGCTTGCAGTGAGCCGAGATTGAGCCGCTGCACTCCAGCCTGGGCGACCGAGCGAGACTCCGTCTCAAAAACAAAAACAAAACAAAACAACAACCAAAGAAAACAGTTTCTTTTGCTTTAAGTTTTCATTTCTACATGTGTCCTCCTTCGTTCAGTCTTGTAGTGACGGTCTCAAGCAGTAACAGTAGTAATTGCTGTAATGAGCCCAAGAATTTGAGGCCAGCCTGGGCAATATGGGGAGACCCCATTTCTACAGAAAAAAAAAAAGCTAGGCATAGGCATGGTGATGTGCACGTGTAGTTCCATCTACTCAGGAGGCTGAGGTGGGAAGATCACTTGAGCCCAGGAGTTCAAGGCTGCAGTGAGCTATGATTGCACCACTGCACTCCAGCCTGGGCAACAGAGTGAGACTCCATTTATTAAAAAAAAAAAGAAAAATAGAAAATAAGTTTAATTATAACTTTTATATATGTATATAATGTTAATTTATAACATATAGGTATATAAGTATACTACATATAAATGTTATATATACCTATTATATATACATATTACATACATATATGTGTGTATATGTACATATAATGTATACAGATTATATGTGGATATGTATATCTATAATATATATGCCTATCTATAATATATACATGTGTATCTATAATATATACATATGTGTATCTATATGAATTATATATAAATGTATATATTAGATATAAATATATATAAATTAATGTCACAATCAGGTTATTGTTATTGATATATTTCGCCCACATTGTTCAGATGTTCCCATTTTTACTTGTATTTTACTTGTATTTCACCCACGCAATTTGTGGGGCCCAGTTCCAAATAAAAATGCAGGGCCCCTTGTTAAACAATTGTTGAGAATTTCAAGTCAGAGACCGGCCAATGTGAAGACAGGCATAGGACCTTTAGACATGCAGTGCCTGTGTGACCATACGGGGCACACGCCTTGCGTACTGTACAGCTTTTCAAATCTGGGAATCAGGTTAGACACAGCTTCCCTCATTTCCTAATCTACAGCAGTTTTTGCATAGTACCTGCGTTTTATCACAACCATCCCCGAATATGCAGCTTTGCAAAGATGTGGCATCACTGAAAGGAATGCAGGGCTCTCATGTCGTAACTGTGACTGGCCTCCACCTAGTAGTTCATGTGGTGTCAGATGTCACTATTACCTTTGAAATTTCAAAATATCGACAGCATCTCTGCGAGTTCACTGAAGCGCTTCAGTGTGCAGTTTGGGAATCACAGCTGTAAGGCACAGATTAATCTAAATTGGAGAATTTTGATCTACTTTTTTTTTTTCTTTTTGAGACAGAGTCTCACTCTCTTGCCCAGACTGGAGTGTAGTGGCGTGATCTCAGCTCACTGCAGCCTCTGCCTCCCGGGTTCAAGCAATTCTCCTGCCTCAGTCACCTGAGTATCTGGGAGTACAAACGTGCACCACCATGCCCAGCTAATTTTTTTTTTTTTGATATTTTTAGTAGAGGGGGGTTTCACCATGCTGGCCAGGCTGGTCTCGAACTCCTTACCTCAGGTGATCTGCCCACCTCGACCTCCCAAAGTGCTGGGATTACAGGCATGAGCCACTGCGCCCAGCCACTACACCATTTTATATCAGATACTTGAGCATCTGTGGATTTTGGTATCTGTGAGAGGCCCTGGAACCAATCCCTTGTGGATACTGAGGGATGGCTGTATTATTTATAGTAGTGAAAAGCTAGAAATAGCCTAAATGTGAAAAGAATCAGATTTAAAATTTTATAATCCACAAAATCTCCATTTTGTTTAAAATGTGTGTTTATAGATATCTCTCTACCTACCTACCTATCTCACTCTCCACAAAGAAATATATATTATATAAATTTTCTTCTTTATGCTTTTTTTAAATAGATGGAGTCTTGCTATATTGTCCAGGCTGGCCATGAACTTCTGGGCTCAAGTGATCCTCCTGTCTTAGGCTCACAAGTAGCTGGGACTACAGGCATGTGCCACCACACCTGGATTATGCTTTTTTTTTTTTTTTTAGTATTTTTCATACTTTTGATAATGATGAAATATAGAAGATCTTCTTGACATCTTCATAGTTTTGACTATTTTGCAGTAATCCTGAAAGCTGGTGACATTAAGTAACTTATAGTTGATAATTTTTCTTTTTCTTTTTAAGTAATAGGGTCTTGCTCTGTTGCCCAGTCTGGAGTGCAGTGGTGTGACCACAGCTCACTGTAACCCTGAACTCCTGAGGTCAAGTGATCCTCCCGCCTCAGCCTCTTGAGTAGCTCAGACTACAGGCACATGCCACTGATGCCCTATTTTTTTGTAGTGATAGGGTCTCTCTGCATTACCCAGGAAGGTCCATGAGCTCAAGTGATGCTCCTGCCTCAGCCTCCCAAAGTGCTGGGATTATAGGCATGAGCCACCGTGTCCAGCAGGTTTATAGTTTTTCTGAGACGCGAGTATGAACCACGTCGCAAGATGATATCCTCTTTCCTGTGGTTTTCAAGAGTAGAGTTGGTGAGATGCACCTATGTATTACAATAGCTCTGTTGTTTTCTGCTCCCTCCACTGGAAGAAAAGTTCCACTTGAGAAGTAAAATACTTGTGTGTGTTTATTTAAAAAATACCTGCCACCCCCGCAACCCAAACACAACCCTAGGGGCTAGTGCTTATGGCAGAAATGAAGACAATGTGGAGGTCAAAAAGATAATGGTCCTTAATTCGAAGATATAACCATTACAGATGGACTTCTATGTTAACTAGAAGGTATAAGCATTACAGAAGGAATTCTATGTTATAGTAGCATTCTGGAATTTGAGAATTCATAAAGGCCTCTGCTACATGTAGCCCTTTTAAAAGCCAAAGTTCTTCAGGATTATTTTCATTACTAAAATAATATAGAAATGCCTACAACATTACCTTGAGTTTTTTCTCCTTAATTGTCTAAATGTGTATGATAATCCATTGTTTGATTTGCATGATTGAGAGGGTGAGGTGTTTTGAATGACTGAAATTTCCAAGTGTCTAGATTCTTCTATTTTAATTCTGAAGAATTAAAAAAGCACTTTGATGAAATTATTTTAAATTATATACTTCTCTTCTTTAACAGACTGTGATGCATGTTAGAGATTTGGGAGTATTGATTAATTACAGTTCTTCCTCATCCTTGCGCATTTCAAATCATTTGTGAAATAGATTCATGAATCATTCAGAGGGATATCAAAATATGTACCTGTGAAGAGCTGACATAGTTGGATTAGAGAACACAGTCTCAATGGGCAGCCCTATTCAGGTTAATTCTTGCTCCAAAAGCTGGACCTTGGGGTGACTTCTCTGAGAATCTCCCACGTGCAGTGGGGCCAGTGTTCATCTTGTCAGTGGCAGAGCCAGAGAGAAGCCTCAGGTACCCTCCTGCCTGTGGAAGGACTGAGGCAGGGAGTAGACAGAGAGCTGAAAGTATTACTGTATTCCTGGGCGCTCCAGGGAGCTCATGGTCCCTTTAGGAAGCATGAAAAGAAGGGGAATGTGGCCAGGTGCGATGGCTCATGCCTGTTGGGAGGCCAAGGCAGGCGGATCACGAGGTCAGGCGATCGAGACCATCCTGCCTAACACGGTGAAACCCCATCTCTACTAAAAATACAAAAAATTAGCCAGATGTGGTGGCGGGCACCTGTCATCCCAGCTACTTGGGAGGCTGAGGCAGGAGAATTGTTTGAACGCAGGAGGCAGAGCTTGCAGTGAGCTGAGATCACGCCACTGCACTCCAGCCTGGGCAACAGAGTGAGACTCCGTCTCAAAAAAAAAAAAAAAAAAAAGGAATGAAGATTTTCTCTCATTTCAACTTTTCTTGATATTTTGGGCTTTCACTCTGAATATTAACTATTGTACTTTGTTGGCACGTTGTTTTCTTAGGAGACATTGTGTTAGGTCAGGTTGTTTACCCTACATCAGAAAGCTCCAGCTTGCTGAGCTTTTAAAAGTGTTTCTTATTTCCTACTGTTTTCTAGCTGTTATTTCTGACTGTTGTTGCTGACTTTGCTTTGGGCCCTCAGTGACTTCTAGTGGACAGTTTCCTGTAAACAAGGCACAAGTTTGTCTGAAAAAACAGGTCAAATTAGCTCAGTTTTACACACAAAACTCAGTGGATGCTGACGTGAGATCGTATCCACGCACTGACGCTTTGCCAGCGTACAGCAAACTTCTCAGAGGGCCACCAGCCCCGCCAACCCACAGGTGCCATTTATATTTCTGAAATCAAAGCTCTGTTCCAAATAACAAAGTTTACAGCGAAATTCCAACAACTAGCTTTGAGTTCTTTCAAAATTCATTAATTCAAAAAACACTTTATTAAATACTTGTACAGAACCAAGCACCATGCTAGTGACAGTGGCTAGAGAGACAGAGCCATGACCCCATTGCTTGTGGAATGGACGCCTGATGCAGGAGACACAGGAGTGAATGCAGAGCGGTGCTGCCCTGCCATGGGTATTCGGAAGGCACTGGGCCAGCTCATGTCCACTGTAAAATGCTTACCTGAACTCAGAGGTCCTGGGGTCAGGACACAATCACTTGACCATGTTTTGTGGGTCCCAGCTGTCTGCAGTTCTTGTAGTTCTGCTGCGTTTGTGCCCAGAGCTAAAGTCCCACTGGACTCGGTGTTATTACGTATGGGAGCACATGGAAGCGGCCTCTGCTCTAGACCAGGGAGGTTAGGAAAGGCTTCCCAGAGGAGAGGACACCTGAGCCAAATTCCGCAGGGTGAGCAGGAGTAGCCAGCAGAGGGATATGGACGGGGGGCACGGGAGCGTATGCCTCTATTCCAGGCAGAGAGCGCATCGTGTCCAAAGGCCGAAATTGAACACATAGTTTGGGCTGTGGTTTAAGTTCATAATGATGAAGTGTGGGTGAAAGGGTTAACGGCGCTAGATCCCCAAGTGGGAGTCAGATTCTGTAAGGCCTTGTGAAGAGTTTGGACTCCATCCAGAGTCCACTTGTGTTTGGATGTGTCCGTCATGGGGGTGACCTAGGCAGTTTGTGATATGAGAAAATAAAAAGGTGGTTGTGTGGAGACTGTATTAGGGGGATATGACCGGAAAATAGAATACCTGCCTGGAGGGAAATCACTGAAGCTCTCTGGTGTTTGTGCCTTGGTGCCCCAGCTGGTTGTACCTCCCTGTCTGCCGGAGTTGACCAGCACTGAAACCAGCTGTCCTGTAGGATCCCGAGTGATCAGCGTCACTTGAGAATGGGATGCTATTCCGTGTTCTGTAATGCCTACATTTTTGTGAGGCCAGCAGGAACTGTGGTTCATTTCAGATGACGTGTCTAAGGTGGCATTCCTGACCATGACCCTGCACCAAGGCGGAGCCACTCGGATGTACGCGCTCACATCCGACCTGCAGCCTCCGCTGCTCAGCACCTTCAGCGGAGACCGCCGCTTCTCTCGATTTGGTGGCGTTCTGCACTTGAGTGACCTGGATGATGATGGCGTAGGTAAGAAAGGAACAGGACCCTTTGACAAGAATTGAGTCCCTTTGCCCAGTGGGTGGATCTCCTAATTGCATCATCTGGGCTCTGCCCTTATAATTGACAGCCCCGTGGCCCAAGGGCGTTTAGATAGATCTTGAATCAGGCGAGACCAGAGAGGGAGTTGCACTTCTGGAAGATAGTAATATGAGAATCACCTGTGGTAATTGGTATTGATGAATGAAGTAGGAAACAAAAGCCTTTGCCTTTGCCAGGGTGAAATCACGGCAGGCTAAAGGAGACACGAAGATTATTTGCAGGAGATTGGGTTAGGATCCAGTAGCAGAACAAGGAAGAGATGACAGTGAGGAGTCAAATACTTCCTTCTGTCGATTTTTATTGTTTACAGATGAAATCATTGTGGCAGCCCCCCTGAGGATAGCAGATGTAACCTCTGGGCTGATTGGGGGAGAAGATGGCCGAGTTTATGTATATAATGGCAAAGAGACCACCCTTGGTGACATGACTGGCAAATGCAAATCGTGGATGACTCCATGTCCAGAAGAAAAGGTAAAGTGTTCTATAAAATCCTATACCTTACTGGGAAAGGATCACTAATCGCTGATTCCTTGTTAACTCATGTCCACTATAAAATGCTTACCTGAATTCATACATTCTGGGGTCAGGACACCATCATCTGCCCATGTTTTGTGGGCCCCAGCTGCCTGCAGTTCTTACAGTTCTGCAAGATTTCTGCCCAGAGCTAAAGTCCCACCGGACTTGGTGTTATATAGGTTCCTGGTCACACAGCCTCCCACTGCTTGGTCAGGCACCCACAGCACAGAAGAAAGAAAACAGGCCATGGTCATTGGAGTTTCTCTTTTTAAAATAGAGACGGGTTTCTGTTCCATTGCCCAGGCTGGAGTGCCGTGGTGTGATCATGGCTCACTGCAGCCTCAGACTCCTGGACTCAGGTGATTTTCTTGTCTCAGCCTCCCGAGTAGCTAGATTACAGGCATGTGCCACCACACCCGGCTAATCTTTTAATCTTTTGTAGAGATGGAGCCTCACTATGTTGCCCAGGCTGGTACTGAACTCTTGGTCTCAAGCAGTCCTTCCACCTGGCCTCTCAAAGTGCTGGGATTACAGGCATGAGCCACCATGCCCGGCCAGCCACTGGAGTTTCATTAAAAATGGCCTGTCTTTTGCTTTTTGTTTCATTTCTTTGTTTATTCCTGTTTTGGGTGAGTTTCCTTAGGTTACATTTCCTGAGCCTAAAACATTTGGCCATTATTTAACTTTTTTTTTTTTTTTTTTTTTGAGATAGAGTCTGGCTCTGTCACTTAGGCTGAAGTGCAGTGGCAGGGTCTCAGCTCACTTCAACCTCCTCCTCCCAGGTTCAAGCCATTCTCCTGCTTCAGCCTCCCAAATAGCTGGGACTACAGGCATGCGCCACCACGCCCGGCTAATTTTTTGTGTTTTTAGTAGAGACAGAGTTTCACCATGTTGGCCAGGCGGCGATTACAGCCCAAAGTGCTGGGATTACAGGCATGAGCCACCACACCCCACTTATTTTAAAATTTTTTAAATTATTTTTTAAATTGCAAAATTAGTGAAAGTTCACTATGAAAATTTTAGAAAATACAAAATGTACAAAGAAGAGAATTAAGAATTATCTACTTAAAATTCCACTCTGCAGAGCTAATACCTGTTTACCTTTAGAGCGGATCCTGCTAGTATTTTTCCTATGACTTTAATTACTACCATTTATTGTGCATTTAGTATGCATATGCTAAGAACTGTGTATCATTTAATCCACATAAAAGTTATGAAATTAATATTATGCCCATTTACAGATTAAAAAAATTAAAGATCTTAGCTGAGTGTGGTGGCTCACACCTGTAATCCCAGCACTTTGGGAGGCTGAGGCAGGAGGATACCCTGAACCCAGGAGTTCAGGACCAGCTTGGGCAACATAGGGAGACCCTGTCTTAAAACAAAAAAATTAAAGATCAGAGAGGAAGTTTATTCAAGGTTACACTGCTAGGAAGGACGTGGCACAACAGGAATTTGTACCAAGATCTGATTCTAAAGCCTACCCGTAAGTATTACACTATGTGTGTGCATATTTTGGTTAACAATTGCGATCTTATTGTGCATAATTTGTGCATAATTTTTTAACTTTTTTTTTTTTTTTTTTTTTTTTTTAATGGAATCTCACTCTGTCATCCAGGCTGGAGTGCAGTGGCATGATCTTGGCTCAGTACAACCTCCGCCTCCCAGGTTCAAGCAATTCTCCTGCCTCAGCTTCCTGAGTAGCTGGGACTATAGGCGCACACCACCATGCCCAGCTAATTTTTGTATTTTTAGTAGAGATGGGGGTTTCACCACATTGGCCAGGCTGGTCTTGAACTCCTGACCTCCAGTGATCCGCCTGCCTCAGCCTCCCAAAGTGCTGGGATTATAGGCGTGAGCCACTGCGCCTGGCCTTAACCTGATTTTTTTTTTTTTTCTTTTTTACCTACCAATATGCCAAGAACATTTTCTTATGTTATCTGATATTCTTATATAATATGATATTTACCGGCTGATGAGTATTTTATCTACAGATAAACCATAGTTTATTTACCCATTATTTAAGTAACTATTATTAGTCATTTGTGCCATTTCCAATTTTCACTGTTTTTAAATAATATTTATGGTAAAGAGTCACATAAACATTTTTATACATCTGGTTAATTTTCTGACCTGTATTTCTATAAGTAGAATTTCTGGGGTCAAAGGGCATGCACATTTGTAAGGCTAATCAAGAAATGTAGAAATGAGGCCGGGCGTGGTGGCTCATGCCTGTAATCCCAGCACTTTGGGAGGTCGAGGTGGGCAGATCACCTGAGGTCAGGAGTTCGAGACCAGCCTGGCCAGCATGGCGAAACCCCCCTCTACTAAAAATACAAAAAAAATTAGCCAGGCGTGGTGGTACACGCCTGTAATTCCATCTACTCAGGAGGCTGAGGCAGGAGACTTGCTTGAACCTGGGAAGCAGAGGTTGCAGTGAGCTGAAATCGCGCCACTGTACTCCAGCCTGGGTGACAGCGTGAGACTCTGTCTCAAAAAAAAAAAAAAAAAAAGAAATGTAGAAATGAGGGTATAAGGGTATACTTAAAATTGATTTTAGAAAACCACACAAACAGTAATAACGTTGTCTGTCTTCTCAATTTTTTTCTTCAGGCCCAATATGTATTGATTTCTCCTGAAGTAAGTATCCCTTGAAAGACTGAAGAAAGAAAAATTACCAAAACAATGCCCCTTGGCTTATTTTAAACAGATAAAGTATTGCGCTGTGTTCTCCAAAGTCCATTAACAGACAGCATGTTTTGCAGGCCAGCTCAAGGTTTGGGAGCTCCCTGATCACCGTGAGGTCCAAGGCAAAGGTGAGCCCCAGGACTTCATTTCATTGACGTTTATGTTAGTACTAAGGGTGGGATTTGGTGGTCTCACTTCTAGGTTTATTTCAGATTTTATTTTTATTTGAAAAGGAGAAGAACGCACAAAAAGAAAGTAACATTCACGTATAATCCCATCACTTTCTTGGTGGAAAGTTTCCCTTTTTACTCTTCCTGTTTTATCCTCTACAGCGGGGGTTGGGGCCAACTCGTCTGCCATCTAATTGTGTAGAGCCACGAACTAAAAATGTCAGCTCATGCTGAGATGGCTGAAAAGAAATCAAAACAGAATATCTTGTAACATTTGAAGTTTAAATGACATGGAAGCTGCAGTGCCCACACAGCTGTGGTGGAACACAGCCGGGCTCATCTGCTGTGGACTGCCGCGCTGCAGTGGCAGAACTGAGGGGTTGCTTTGGAGACTGATGCCTCACAAAGCCTAAAGTATTTATTATCTGGCCTGTTCCCCAAAATTGTTTGCTGGCCCTTGCCCTAGAAGATAACCATTGTTAATATTTTGCTATTTTCTTCCAGACTTTCAGAGTTATTTATTTATTTATTTATTTATTTTTTATACAGAAGCTTGCTCTGTTGCCCAGGCTGGAGTGCAGTGGTGCAAATTCGGCTCACTGCAACCTCCACCTCCCAGGTTCAAGTGATTTTCCTGCCTCAGCCTCCCAAGTCGCTGGGATTACAGGTGCCCACCGCCAGGCCCAGCTATTTTTTAAAAATTATTTTGTAGAGATGGGGTTTTGCCATGTTGTCCAGGCTGGTCTGAAACTCCTGGCCTCAAGTGGTCTGCCTGCCTCTGCCTTCCAACCTTCCAAAGTGCTGGGATGATAAGCATGCGCCTCTGCACCCGGCCCAGAGTTTTTCTATGACTTTAGAGATATACACACACCTTTTTTTTTTTTTTTTTAAGACAGGGTCTGGCTCTTGTCACCCAGGCTGGAGTGCAGTGGCGTGGTCTCAGCTCACTGCAACCTCTGTCTCCTGGACTCAAGTGATCCTCCAACCTCAGCTCCCTGAGTAGCTGAGACCACAGGTGTATGACACCATTCCACGCTACTTTTTGTATTTTTAGGAGACAGGGTTTTACCATGTTGCCCAGGCTGGTCTTGAACTCCTGGACTCAAGTGGTCCACCCGCCTTGGTCCCCGATTTTTTTGGCTATTACAAACAGTGCCATAGTGAGCATTCTTGTACCTGTCTGTAGCTTTTTATAAGGTGAGAATCTTAAAAGTAGGATTGCTAGATCTAAAAGTGTACACATTTTAAATTTTGAGATGGTAGATTAAAAAGTTTAACCTTGGCTGGGCGTGGTGGCTCACACCTGTAATCCCAGCACTTTGGGAGGCTGAGGCAGGTGGATCAACTGAGGTCAGGAGTTCAATACCAGCCTGGCTAACATAGTGAAACCTCCTCCCTACTAAAAATAAAAAAAATAGCCGAGCATAGTGGCGCATGCCTATAGTCTCACCTATTCGGGAGAGTGAGGCAGGAGAATGGCATGAACCTGGGAGGCGGAGGTTGCAGTGAGCTGGGATGGTGCCGCTGCACTCCAGCCTGGGCGACAGACCAAGACTGTCTCCAAAAAAAAAAAAAAAAAATGTGGGGGCCGAGCGCGGTGGCTCACGCCTGTAATCCCAGCACTTTAGGAGGCCGAGTCGGGCAGATCACCTGAGGTCAGGAGTTCGAGACCAGCCTGGCCAAAATAGTGAAACCCCATCTGCTAAAAATACAAAAAATTAGCCGAGTGTGGTGGTGGAGGCCTGTAATCCCAACTACTCGGGAGGCTGAGGCAGGAGAATTGTTTGAACGCAGGAGG